CTTCCTCCTAACCACTTCTAGTTACCAGTCTTAAAACTTTAGGCTGTTCACATCTCACCACCATTTCTTGAGTGCTTCTATTCAGTTGCTGGGCTTAAGTAATTTTTCCTAGAATCACAAATTCATATATTTTGGATACACAGACTCAGGGTTAGCAGCCCAGCTAGCATTTAGAGATTCTTCCAGTTGGAAAGGAAGTAGAGATCATCTGATCCAACCTCCCATTCAATGCAAAAGTTATCTAGCAAGTAGTCATTCAGTTCCTGTTCAAACACTTCTAATGACAGGAACAACACTCACTTCCTCCTTAGGTAATTCATTCCATCTTTGGACAGCTCTAAGGTAAAATACTCTACTTATTTTTCTTCTTGGCACATTTAACCACCAGATTACTTAGGAATCGTTTACTGTCTGACTTCTTTTTATCAGAATGTAAGATCCATGAAGTCAGAAACATGTTGTTTGCATTTGTAGTTGTTTTTTTACTGCTGTATGCCCAGCGCCTTGAACAGTGTCTAGTACATGAAGGGTATAAAATAATTGTTTATTGGAAGGAAGGGAGGGAGGGGCAAGCAAATAAAACAATACTGCATTTTGGGAACTTTAAGTAATTCAGCATGGCTGCCCTGAGAGGCACAAGGGGAAGAATAGGGTAAGTAACTAATAAGGTTTGAGTGGTAGATTTGAAGCCCCTGAAATCTCAAAACAAATGCAGAGGCTCAGGTTGTACTGTTTGAAGAACATTTACAATTCCCTTATCTCCCTTCTCCCCTTCCTTCCAAGCCTCCCCTATGCCATTCTGATGGTAAATATCTTTTAATACATCATCTTTTCTATGAAGCCTTTTCAAACTGTCCCTTCCCCCAACCCCCACCAATAAAATGCACCGTATTAAATTTTGTAGATGCTTCTATCACTGTACCCATGATACTTATTTTTGTATTTGTCATCCTGTACTGGGCTCTGAGCTCTGTGAGCAGGGACTGTGTTATCTTCATTTTTCTGTCCTGGGCACTGAATACAGTGACAGGGCAAGGTGAGAACCTTACAAATGTTTGGTAAATAGATGAAGGTAATAGTTTTCTTGTATTGTGTATTGGCCAAACTACATCAAGGGGTCTGTTTTCAGGTTTGGGCACTACATTCTAGGAAAGATACTTAGCCTTTTTGCCTAAGTTTGCAAATGTAAATGCCAAAGAAATGAGACCAATCATGTAGATGAGTTACAGGGACCTGATAGGACCACGGTTAAGAGGTGAGACCATGCCACACTTTTATGTGAAATCTCTTAAATGTAGCCAACTAATTCAAATTTTAAAAAAGAAGAAGAAATAAAAAGAACAACGCTGTGCAGACCCTCCAAAACACACGACATGCCTGCCAAGTGGATATGGGAAGCAAATTTGCAATGTGTATTGGACAAAGGGATTTAAGCAAGGGAATAATACAATCAGAACTGCAGTTTTGTTTTTTTTTTTGAGACAGAGTCTCACTCTTTTGCCTGGGCTAGAGTGAGTGCCGTGGCGTCAGCCTAGCTCACAGCAACCTCACACTTCTGGGCTCAAGCGATCCTTCTGCCTCAGCCTCCCGAGTAGCTGGGACTACAGGCATGCGCCACCATGCCCGGCTAGTTTTTTCTATATATTTTTAGTTGTCCGATTAATTTCTTTCTATTTTTAGTAGAGACGGGGTCTCGCTCTTGCTCAGGCTGGTTTCGAACTCCTGAGCTCAAACAATCCGCCCGCCTCGGCCTCCCAGAGAGCTAGGATTACAGGCGTGAGCCACCGCGCCCGGCCAGAACTGCAGTTTTTGAAAGACCATTGTAATAGGATAAACTAGGGTGCTATGAATAGTCAAGGGAACAGATGGGAAAAGGGTTTGAACCAGGGGTAGAGGGATAGAGTAGATTTGAAAGATAACCTGGTCTACCTAGTTTTAATAATGAAGTCTAAGATTTCATGAACTAATCTGGCAGCCACATTACCAATCTGTAGGTTCATACTGATTTTTTTTTCAAATAAACTCTTAAATCTAATTTTTAATAACCTAAATATGTGGCTTAATTCTTATTTCTTTTGCAGGCAGTATAGTGCGATTATTAAAGATTACAGACTCTGAAGCCAGACAGCCTAAGTTCAAACTCTACTTACTAGCTGTGTGAGCTTGGACAAGTCACTTGACTTCTCTATATTTCAATACCTACTTTATAGAGTTACAATAAGTGTAAATGAGTTAACACGCGAAGTGCTTAGACTAGTAGCTAGTCCATATTAAATGCCAAGTAAGTTTTAGCTTAAATTATTATTTATTATTTTTTGCATCTCAACTTCCTAGTTTCAATCCATTGTCTAAATATTCTTTACACATCGCCAGGCATACAGTCCCAGCTACTTAGGAGGCTGAAGAAGGAAGATCGTTTGAGCTCAATTCAAGGCCACCCTAGGCAACATAGCAAGACCTCAGCCCTCTAGAATGTCACTAAAAACAGATCCCTCCTTCTAGATAAACTTTGATCAGTACTACAATTCCTGACTGCAATTATTCAATCAGCTCCAAAGCCAAGTCAAAATTTTGTCTTGGGACCACATGAGAAAACGTTACCTAATTTTAGCACTTACAAAACATTACCTTTGTAGCATATTCCTAATCCTACAGTCTATGATCTGTTCAAAAACGAAATGCCCTTGATATATATTAAAGTGCTATGTGGTAATTATCTCTGGATAGTGTGATTTTTTTTTCTTTGTTTTTGCTTATCTCTATTCTCTAATATTTCTATAATGAACCTGTACTGATGTTATAGTTTAAATGAAATCAGGGCAAAGCTTAAAGGGAATTGTTATCAGTTAGCATGACTTATTATTAGTGAACACAAACTGGCTTCTAGGGGTCATTCTGTTGTTCTCATCCTTTGATCAGTCAATTTTAGAATTTTACCAGGGATCACTCAAACCCACATGATGCAGAGGTTAACTCCAAAATGATCAAACATCTCTACGGGGAGAATTAGAATTTGACCCTGCCTTCAAAATATGTCTAGAATCCATTGCTTTCTGGCTACCCACCACTACTACCCAGGTCCAAGCCACCATCATCCCTCCCCTAGACCACTGATTACTGCGAAAGCTTCCTAACTGGTCTCCCTGCTCCCAACCATTGCCCATCTTTCCCCACTCTCCATAGTCTGTTCTCCCACAGCAACCAGAGTGAGCCTTTTAAAACATCACTCAAATCAAGTCACTCCTCTGCTCTAAACTCTCTAGTGGCTCCCACCTCACTTAGAATAAAACGTACTCCAAAGGTGTCACCTGGCTGTAAGGCCCTACATGATCTGGGTCCCATCACTCTTACTTCCTACTGCTCTTTCCCTAGTACTCCACTCCAGCCACATTGGCCTCCTTGTGGGTCCTTATATATGGCAAGTCACACTCATACGTCAGGGATTTTATACCTGCTATTCCCTTTGCATGGGATGCTTTTCTCCCAGATATCTCCCTGGCTGGATTCCTCACTTCTTTTAGATCTTAGCTTAAAATATCACCTCATCAGAGGCTTTCTCTGATCACTTTATATTAATATAAAGGAACAATCCCTTAGCACCCCATCATTCTCTGTCACTTTACCCTACTTTTTTTTCTTCTTGACACCTATCACCTAGTGGATGTTATTTATCTATTTGCCTGTTTATTTGTTTACTCATATCTAGTTATTCATTTTTATCTGTTTCTACCTATTAGAATATAATCCTTAGAGCAAAGACTTTTTCTATTTTTGTTTAATGCTATATACTTAGCTCCAATTGTGCTAGGCATGTAGTAAGTGGTCAATTTCTGTCATCTGAACATCAGCCCCAGTATAGAGCAAAATATTCTATGTATAGTAAGTATGTGTAATAACTTTTATTGATGAAAATGATTATTTTTCCCAAAATTTCACCAAGTATATTAGAAAACATTGGTGCTTCAATAAAAAGAGACCAAATCCTGGGTGTCACTCACCCAACCAGAAATTAATTTCATAACCCAGTTCCTTGAGGTAGGAAAAGTGCTCCAGGAAAAGGACAGGACAAGAATCCTGAGCCAATTAACAGGGCAAGAGTTTGCCTTGAAGTTTCCCACTCCTTCAAGGAGAGTTCTATATTATCTCTAACTACACCCACTTCCTACGAAGGGTAGACATAAGAATGAGAGGTCTTGTTAAGATTTTTTTTGTAGGCCCAGTCATTCTATGACTAGAACCTATTTCCCAGACTCATTCTGAGCTACCCTATTGCTCTACTTCCCCAGAGAACCTTTCTCTAACTAGTATCCAGCTACCAATGGCAACCAAGACCACTAGGTCTCCTGGCCACTCACTGAGTTCTCACTTCTCTCTTCTATTTCATTAGTGCTCTCCTCTGCCTTAGCCAACAACAGCCAATAAAATATTAGCACACAAAATCCAGAAAGCACTAGGAAAAGGAGCTGGTTGTTGATCAAAATGTTTTTTGATTATTTTGCTTTGTTTTTTAAAGGTTAAATCAGTCACTGCTTCAACAAAAAGTAACTTTCTCAAAAGAGAAACATTATGGTGTAATGAAAATAACCCAGGTTTGAAACTTAGTTCTACCGTTAACTACCTGTGTGAACTTTGAGAAGTTATTTAACCTCATTTCCTTGTGACAATGATAACAGCACTTACTTCACAAGGTTGGCAGAAATTCAAGGGAGATAACATATGTCAAACAGGACTGTGCCTGACATAGAGTAAATATTCAGTAAATGATAGCTAAGCCTACTTCTTCAGGTTGTCGACTTCCTACAAGGATTTTTACTCATTAGGTTGAATGGTTGATTAAAGGAGAAAACATGTAAAGTGCTTAGCATAGTATTTAGTTCATAACAGGCCATCAACAAATACTGAATTTCCTCCCTCCCTTGCAGTGGTGGAAAAATTGTAGAGGCTTCCGAAACCACCCAATTCTATTGGTATGCCCAGGTTTCCCTCTACAACATACTTACCATTTAGGTAATTTAAGCTTCGGTCAATACTTCTGGCAGCTTCCCTTATGCTTGCTGTCTTGGAAACAGCCACTCAGTATCTTTCAATGGCAGTTGCCTCTTGATCTGGATAGAATATAAACAAAAAGGAGGAGATAAGCATGAATCACACCAAGACTCAGCTGACCCAAAGGCCTATCCCAAAGACTTTTATATACAATGCAGCATCAGAAAAGACAGAAGGTAAGATCTGAGTCTGAATCTTGACTCTGAAGGAAGCTGACTATGTCTCCGGGGAGATGAGAAAGAGTCTGGTTCTAAGACACTTCCCCTTTCCTATCAGACAACATGGTTCTAGGGTAGAATACATTGTCTTTACTTAAATTAACATACCTATACATTCCCCAACAGTCTAAAAATGTATATGACATCTTACAGCTAGGAAGCATCTCAAAAGTCAACTATAGGTTGAGTATCCCTAATCCGAAAATTGGAAATCCAAAATGCTCCAAAATCCAAAACATTTTGAGTGCCAACATGATACCACAAGTAGAAAAATCTACACTTGAACTCATGTGATGGGTTGCAGTCAAAATGCAGGTACACAATACTCAGTTTATTCATCAAAAAAATAAAATTATCTTCATGCTATGTGCATAAGATGTATATAAAACATAATGAATTTCGTGTTTAGACTTGGATCCCATCCCTGAGATATCTCATTATGTATAGGCAAATATTTCAAAATTATAAAAAACTCTGAAATCTGAAACACTTATGGTCCCAAGCATTTCAGATAAGGGATGTTCAACTTGTTGTTAAATGCCCTTGTGTTAAGGAAGGAAACTCAAGCTTGGAAAGGGTGAGTCACACCATTATGTAGGGGTAAAGCTGGGAATCTACTAAAAATAAGATGTTCTGGAAGATGGTTAAGAAAAAACAAACATCTGTGGAGTATCTACCATACCCCAGTCACTATGCTTTATGTTTTATATGAGACAATAACACAATAATGTTACCTCCACCTTACAGATAAAGAATCTAAGTTTCAAGAAGTGACTTGTCCAAGGTCCCACAGCTTGAATTTAAACTGAAGTCTGACTCAAAAGGCCCTTCATCACCATGCTCTCACTTTATTGCCTTCTAGACTTGGTCCTTAAAAGAGCCCTGAACCACCCAGTATCAATTAGAACTAAAAATAGAGCTTCTCTGTCTGCAAACTTACCCTCCAGTTTTGTAACAAGTAGCCTTCTACAGGAGAATGGAAAAGCCTACTATCCCATTGAATCTCACCCCTAAAATTATAGAAGAGTTACTAGACATGGAAGATCTGGGTCAAACTTCCTATGTATCCTAGTCTTAAGGAAGAATGAAAAGGTAGCTTCAAATTACCTTTGAAACAAAGAAGTATTAATATAAAAAAGGTTCTATACCAGGGACAGCACCCAAGGGATGGGTTAGGTGGGTATGGGGAAAGCCTTAGCTCCCCCCTCCACCCATTTTTTAAAAAGAATCAATGGAAGTAAAATAAATGTAGTTGCTATTCAAACAGCTTCAAGACAGGCCCACAGACCTGTTCTGCCCCACCACCACCTGTCTCCTTCCCCCTCCCCACCCACCACACACACACACACACACACACACACACACACACACACCCCTTCCTCTGCTTAGCCTAAAACCTCTCCCACATGAAAATTCTGAACTCTAAGAAATGGCACCATAAATCTAGTTTATCTCCACTAAGGTCTCTGTAGCCCTAACAGTGACAGCAGCATCCCTGCTGAAAGCTTCTGCCCCAGCACCTACCACTTTACTGCCAAATTTGCTGATATGTTACTAAGACCCAGGGTGCTTTTCTCTTCAAAACAGGATGGAATACACTGCCAAAGTCAAACAAACAGGAACTCCAGATGATCCTGATTTGTTTTCAACTGTCTACATACTTTCCTATTTCTAAGGGGAAGAAGCAAGCAGCAAGTGATTTCTTTCCTTTGCTTCCGAATGGCATTTACTCCTTGCATTTACTCCTTGCATCTTCAGCGTGCTGTCCCACTGTCCCCAGAAACAAAAGGATGTCTGTAAACATCCTCAAACTCTTTAGTGCTGCCCCTTCAGAGAGCTTTCCGCCATGACGGACCCACCCTCACCATTTCCCTCGTGTTTGTTTGTTTGTTTGTATGTATGTATGTATGTACGTACGTACGTATGTACTGACTGATTGCCAGAGTCTCACTTTGACATCCTGGCTAGAGTTCAGTGGCATCATCTTAGCTCACTGCAACCTCAAACTCCTGGGCTCAAGTGATCCTCCCTGCCTCAGCCTCCTAAGTAGCTGGGACTACAACAGGTGTGCCGTACCACCCCCAGCTAATTTTTGCTATTTTTGGTAGGCATGGGGTCTCATTCTTGTTCAAGCTGGTCTTGAACTCCTGAGCGCAAGCAATCCTCCCGCCTCAGCCTCCCACAGTGCTAGGATTACAGTCGTGAGCCACTGTGCCCGGCCCTCTTGTGCTTCTCTTGTTGTTACCATTGGTGATGAGAGTGGTGGTAGTATGTGTGTATGTGTCTGTCTGTCTGTCTAGAAGCAGAGATTGAAGGACCCTTACAGATCACGAAGAGTCCAACCATCTCATTTTCCAGAGGAGCAAGTAAGTTCCAGAGAGGAAGAAAGACTTGCCTAAGGTTACAAAACAAATTAAAGTGTACATGGTTCAGTCCCTTTATTCCCAAAACGCTTTGATAATGGATAAAAATGCTAGTAGGGAATTCTGCTTCCAGCATGACCCTCCCACAGATAACAACTATAAACTCTGAATAAAATACAAAAAGCAACCATCTGAAGTGAACAAAGGCTGACACATTTTGAAGAGAAATTGCAAAGTAAAAGAAGGGACTGGAATGTGATGAATTCCCCATTTTTAAAGCTCTGGCCGGAGGGTGGTCCAGCTGGAGTTCCAATTAAAAAACAAACCCGGGCAGGCACAGTGGCTCATGCCTGTAATCCTACATAGCAGTTTGGGAGGCAAAGGTGGGAGGATTGCCTGAGGCCAGGAGTTCAAGACCAGCCTGAGCAAGAGCAAGACCCTGAGACCCCACGTCTATGAAAATAGAAAAAATTACCCGGGCATGGTCACAGCACACCTATAGTCCCAGCTACTTGGGAGGCTGAGGCAGGAGAATTGCCTAAGCCCAGGAGTCTGAGGTTGCAGTGAGCTGTGATGACACCATGTGATGATGCCACTGAACTCTAGCCCAGGCAAAAGGTGACACCTGAGAATCAGATAAAAAAAAAAAAAAAACCCACAAAGACAAAAGAAACCCCAAACCCTACGCCTTCTGTCCTGAAAAGACAGAACCCAGAGCAGCCAGAGATGATGAAAAGAAGGAAGGAAGACAACCAGAGAAAGAGAGTCTCAGGTTCTATGTATAAATTCTGCCCACGTCTCTGGCTGAATCCTGAACCATGCAAGCACAGGGCAGAATCCAAAGACCTCAGCTAAGGAAAAAAGAACTGGAACTGAGATGCAGGTGCAACAGAGTTTGTGGTTTTGAGTCTGAGTTAACTGCCTGCTAAATTAAAAACATCAACTGAAACCAGAGCCTCTATAACATATCATATACAGTGTGCAGAATACAATTCCAACTTACATAAAGAACTATAAAAATTAAATCTATTTGCAAGGAAAAAGACAATCAGCAGAGGACAACTCCGATTTTGAAATTATCAGGCAAGGATATTAATGCAGCTATTATAACGAAGCTCAATGAGGTAAAATAATAATAAATATATGTACTCAAAATGAAGGAAAAAACAGTAAATCTCAGAAGAGAAATTGAAAACAAAATTTTTAAGTGAAAATTTTCTGCCAAGCATGGTGGCTCATGCCTGTAATCCCAGCACTTTGAGGGGCTGAGGAGGGAGGATTGTTGAGGCCAAGAGTTTGAGATCAGCCTGGACAACATAAATAGACCCCCATCTCTACCAAAAAATATATATATTTTTTTAATTAGCTGGGTGTGATGGTGCATGCCAGTAGTCCTAGTTATTCAGAAGGCTGAGGCAAGAGGAATCACTTGAGCCCAGGAATCCGAGGCTGTAGTGAGCTATGAGAGCACCACTGCACTCCAGCCTGGGTGACAAAGTGAGACCCTGTCTCAAAAAGAAAAAAGTGAAAATGCTTAAACAGAAATACAGTATCTGAAATTTAAAATTTGAAAGCTGGCATTCAAAGAACCACTGCCTGGCTTTGCTGTTTCCTTTTCTAACAAGTGGTCTATAACTGAGACTAGGCTTCTTTGTCCATGTTGGTGAGGTTTAGCAATAGAACCACAGGTCTAAAATCATTAGTTATTTGCCTGCTTTAAGTTGGCCAAATCAAGAGAACATGCTGGGTCCCTTTAACCCCAGGAGTCTGTGATTAGGATATCAAGGGGCCACAAGGATTACAGCAGATATGGCAAATGTAGTTAAATAGCAAGTCAGAACAATTATCCTAAGGAGGAAAAAACCAAAGAGCTTTTCATTACCTAATTTAATCTTCATGGTAACCCTAATCAGATAAACACCATTATGTTTACTTTATAAATGAGGAAGAAACAAAAGCTCAAAGTCACATAACTGGTAAGTGGTAAAGTGGATTCTCAGCCAGGTATTTCTGCTCAAAATTTTGCTTTCTACTCGCCATTATCCTTCCTCTCTAAGGAGTTATCTCTCAAATCTTACCCTTAGGAAAGCCAGACCTGACCCACAGTTAGAACGATGAATCTTACCCTTAGGAAAGCCAGTCCTGATCCACAGGCCAAACATCACAAATTCTACATGACGCTGGTGAGTAGTTTATTTGTTCATTCTTTCACTCATTCATTTATTCATTCTAATATTGACTGCTTATAGGGGGGCATCAAGCTCTGTGATAAGCACTGGGGATAAAACAGTGAGTAGAAACAGACTAAAATGCCTATCTTCATGGCATTTTAGTACAAGAGAAAAATACTGATTAAAAATATTATTAAATATAAATTATATAAAATACAATTACATAGAAATAGACTCACTGAGGGAGGTCTAGGAAGGCTCCCCTAGTGAGCATGCTCCAAGTAGAAGATGGAGCATGGTGAGTTTG